AAGCAGCTAACAATCTCCTTTCCCTTCCTCCCCCACAACAAACACTCTGTGAGGTGAGTGAGGCTGAGAGACTTCAGAGAAGTGTGACTAGCCCAAGGTCACCCAGCAGCTGCATGTGGAGGAGCCGAGACGCGAACCTGGTTCACCAGATTACAAGTCCACCACTCTTAACCACTACACCACACTGGCAGAAGAGCCTGCTAGATCTGGCCAATGGCTCATCTAGACCAGCTTCCTGTTCTCACAGGGGCCAACCAGTTTCCTGTGGGAAGCCCAAAAGCAAGACCTGAGCACAAGACCACTCTCCCCTTCTGCATACCCTCCAACATTCTTCTGATGAAAATTGGGACATCCCATTCCATAATGACAATTTTGCTATTTACACCCGACACATCTTACTGGGTTGCCCCAGCCACTCTGGGCAGCTTCCAACATGTATTAAAACATCAGGGACGTCCCTGGGAAATAGAGATATTTGGAGGGTCTGCTCTGGTGGTTTGCAGGAATTGGTATTCTGAAGCATTACTGCCTCCAACTTTGCAAGTGGAGCAGAGCCATCACGGATAGTTGCCACTTTTAAGTTCAGTTCACCACATTTCCACACCGGTTTGTCATTTGTTTCTCTGTTAGTTTGTTAATGAATATGAATATTCAGCAGCTAATTTATGCTAATATACGCATTTTAAAATAAAATGTTCCCCAATATATGTGTTTTTGTAAAGCACATTTCTCCCTAATATTTACATTTTCCCTAATATAATGCATTTTGTATGTTATTTTCACTAATACCTGCATTTTAGTGTGTGCAAATTTTTGCACACATTACTTGACTGCAGAGCAAAATGCAGAGAAGTGTTAATTTCTTCTTCTTCTTCTTTTTATAAATTATAAAACTTTATTTGCACATTAAAAATTACAAATAAGAACACACACAAAAAGGGAAAAACATAAAACAAAACAAAATAATAATTTCGTGGGGGGTGGACTTGTCAAAATCATACATTAATTTAAGAAGTGTTAATTTCTAGAGGTGGTTGTGCTACAATTCACATATTGTTTCGCGAACTGCAAATTAGGCAAGCCTGCCTTTCGAGGCAAATGAGATCAAACTCCTCCCCTGTCGCTGGTGTGCGAGTGTCTGCGTTTCAGAGGGGGTGAGTTTTTCATGCGCCTCCTAATGTGAAAGGATTTGTATCCTGAAAGACAGGCTATAAATAACTGCAATCAACAAACAAAGGAACCCGGGAGAGAAATAAGGTGTGTTTGGACTGAACATAACAGGAACAGCTGTTCTAAAAATGTTATGTGCGCCTCGACTAGCTTAGTGACACTTTCTCCACGGCGGCTGTGACACAAGGCACGGGACAGTGTTACTGATGGGCAAAGGTGGACTTAAGAGGATATGCAGGCTACCTGGGCCTACAGGACGGGTGTCGATCCCTAGCTGTTAAGAGGAGAGATTGGTAACAACAACAACAACAACTTTTTATTTATACCCCGCCCATCTGGCTGAGTTTCCCCAGCCACTCTGTACGGCTCCCAATCGAGTGTTAAAAACAATACAGCATTAAATATTTAAAACTTCCCTAAACAGGGCTGCCTTCAGATGTCTTTTAAAGATAGGATAGCTGCTTATTTCCTTCACATCTGAAGGGAGGGTGTTCCACAGGGTGGGCACCACTACCTAGAAGGCCCTCTGTCTGGTTCCCTGTAACCTCACTTTTCGCAATGAGGGAACCGCCAGAAGGCCCTCGTCGCTGGTAGAAAGACCCTTCGCTTGCAAGCCCTTTGTGATAAACAAACTATGAGCATTGGCCACAGCTCAGTGGTAGAACATTTGCTTTGCATGCAAAGGTCCAAATTCAGCCCCCAGCATGTCCAGGTGTCAGGGACTGGACTGAGGAGGGTCCCGCTTCCTGCACCTTCCCAAGAAGGGATTTAGAACAGTGGTTTGCAGAAGGTCAGAGTTCAGAGGCTGCAGAGGGGAGAAGCTGGGAAATAGCAGGAAAGCAGCAGGAAGAAGAAGGACCAGGGGAGAGACAGCTAACAGACTCAGTGTCTCTAGAAAGCATTCCTGACCTGCCCCCCGCTCTCCCAGGACCAGGCATGCCTTGAGTGTGATAGAACAGAAAACTCAAAGGCAGAAAGCACAGGTTAGTCGGCGCAGGGGTGATGTAGAAGAGGAGGGACTGAGCTGTGGACTTTACTCGGAGCCAGTGCCGGATTTACGTATAAGCTAAACAAGCTATAGCTTTGGGGCCCCCTCTCTTGGAGGGCCCCCAAAAAATTAAAGGGGGGAAAACTGGATGTACATTTCCAAAATATAAGATAAAAAACAAATAAAACCTACATACAGCAACAGTGTTTTGTGTAATAAAATACATATTTTGTTATAGGCAAATGGCTTTAGATACCTATTAGGTCCATAAATTACCATATATCATATACAGGGGTCAGCAACCTTTTTCAGCCGTTGGCCAGTCCACCATCCCTCAGACCATGCAGTGGGCCGGACTATAATTTGATGAAAAAAATGAACAAATTCCTATGCCCCACAAATAACCCAGAGATGCATTTTAAATAAAATAAAATTTTACTCATGTAAAAACACGCTGATTCCCGGACCATCCGCGGCCTGGATTGAGAAGGCAATTGAGCCGCATCCAGCTCACGGGCCTTAGGTTGCCTACCCCGATTCAACACATAAAAATAGTGACAATTTGTTGTTGACAATCGACAGCTGGACACATAAAGCGTCCCATTACCTTCAGTAGCTTAGGCCAGGGATCAGCAAACTTTTTCAGGAGGGGGCCAGTGCACTGTCCCTCAGACCTCATCAAACATAAATCCAGCCCTACTCGGAGCAACACCATTATCTAAGAGAGACCACATTCCTTCATCTCTCTCTGTGAATACTGAATAAACTACGTGGTAAGAACTCTTCTTGTTTATCTGCTTTTTGGCATCGCACCGGGGGAGGGATAGGATTCCCTGAAGCCACCAAGGTGTATGATAACCTTGGACATTAGCAGTAGATTTGTTGGGTATCCAATGAAGCTAAATGCTGTAGGATTCAGACACATAAAAGGAGTAAAGGTAAAGGCATCCCTGACCATTAGGTCTAGTTGCGGACGACTCTGGGGTTAGTCATGTGGCCAGCATGACTAAGTCGCTTCTGGCGAGCCAGAGCAGTGCACGGAAAAGCCGTTTACCTTCCCGCCGGAGCGGTACCTATTTATCTACTTGCACTTGACGTGCTTTCCAACTGCTAGGTGGACAGCAGCTGGGACCGAACAACAGGAGGTCACCCTGTCGCGGGGATTCGAACCGCCAACCTTCCGATCGGCAAGCCCTAGGCTCTGTGGTTTAGACCACAGCGCCACCCGCGTCCCTATAAAAGAGAGTACTTATTTACAAATATGTGCTCTCTGAAGCCCACATTCCTAACATGTTCACGCTCCCGTCTCAGCGACGTCTATGCTGGCTTGGTCCTGTCCACAAAATGGAAAATGGCAGGTTCCCCAAATATGTGCTCCACGGGGAGCTGGCTTCAGGCACCAGGCCAACTCTGCGTTACAAATATGTCTGCAGACGAGACATGAAGGCTGGCAACGTCAACCCTGCCGTGTGGAAATCCCTTGCAGATGATCGCAGTGCCTGGAGACGGACAGTCAAGTTGTGTATCTGTAGCAGTGACCGGAGGAGAAATGGCCGTTGGGAGGAGCACAGAGAGAAGAAAAGCCATGGTGCATCTGCAACAGCTCAAACCGGACGCCTTCATCTGCCCCAGCTGCAACAAAACATGTCTCTCCTGTATCGGTCTCTACAGCCACAGCAGGCACTGTAACTCTCCAATGGTTTGACTTCACCCCCAAAGCCATGCTCCTTCGTTGTCTCCTGAGAGAAATACGTTGCCAGCAATGTAGTTAAACTGTGCAATGTGTTCCCACGGGGGCAGTGATGGTCACCCAGCTTTAAAAAAAGATGGGTTATTGGTTTGATCCGGCAGAGGTTTTTTAATGCTCTTAACAGCAAAAATAACCATGACTGAAGGGCAGCAGCTTCGTCAATATTTTTCAAGGGCCTGGGAATAAGATTAATTTGCCAGGAGTTACATCATATGGTTGCTGAGGGTTTGTTTACAGAACAAAAGCATTTAGAAGAAGCAACTGTTCAAAGCTGATGTTCGTAAGTTTCTGTATCACTGTGGTCTTGGGAAGGTTGGTATTGCCAGGAAAGCTATCAATATTTATCTTACGAGCACAAACTCATGTGCACATATGCGTGCACACACACACACACACACACACACACACAGACTTGTTTCTTTGACTTCATGCAAATGCTATCAAACAGTGGCTGGAGACATCCTGTCTGTGCAGCAAGTGCAAAGGAAGTGCAGAGATCTCCCCCCTTCCCCCCTGCTTTGCACTTTGCAAGCAGCTCCGACTTTGCTAGGAAACAGCCTGGGTGAAATCTCAGCAGTTATCTGATTCATTCTCCCTGCTGATTGGTCACTTTCCTTTACCACTGACATCATCTTGTTACCAGGCTAAAAACATCTGAAGCACAACCCTTGATGTTGTCTTCAGTGAGCGGGTTCGGAAAATGACTCTGTTGAGCTGATTGTTTTTGCAGTGGGGGAAAGAAATAGAAAAATTAGACGGTCGCCTAGCAAACAGCTTAGGAAGTTAATTGGCAACCTGCACTTTCTCAAACAGTGGGATGTGTTGTTGTTGTTTTTTAAATGAATACATTAGCTACATTCTGGTTTCAATTGTTAGCAACACCTTAGACCACCATCTGTGGTTATAGCATTGCAACACATAAACTTAACTCAGGCTGCGTACATTTTAAAGCACCAATTTTTTTAAAAAAAAAGAATCATGGGAACTGTAGTTTGTTAAGGGTACTGGGAATTGTAGCTTTGTGAGAGGTAAACTGCAGCTCCAAGGATTCTTTGGGTGGAGTACTTTATATATATGGTGTGCGTGCAGAATGAGATAGCTTAGTCGGAAAAGCATGAGACTCTTCATCTTGGGGTTGTGAGTTTGAGCCCCATGTTGGGCAAAACATTCTTGCACTGCAAGGAGTTGGACTAGATGATTCTCATGGTCCCAACTTTGCAATTCTATAATGCTGCGATTCAAACCTCAGACTTATTTCCATGGTGAAGGGAGCGAGTGAATTATTACTTCTGAAAAGTACAACCAGTGCTATAGCTGCATGATAGAGATTCGCTTTGAGCTAATTTGCATGATCCAAAAACAGCCCATGCTTGGATTACAGAGATCTTGCCCAACCTCTTAATTTTTTTCCTGATAGCCACTTAGGTACTGTTTTACAGGAGGGATTCTTTTTTTAAATCTCCCCTACCTCTTTTCAGTGACCCCCAGTATCCCCCACTCCAGCCCAACCCTGAACCTCTTCACCATTTATTTCTGTGGCTGGATAAGTCTGATCTCTCCAGCTCTGCATTGCTTTGTTTACTTGGGCTGCTGATCCAGAACCACCCATGGTCTGTTTCCAGGCCAGGATCTCTCTTTTGTTAGCTGGCTGCCTGCCTGCTCTCTTTCCCTGTGTACTTGGCTCGGTTGGATAGAACCTCCTGTCAATCAGAGGCTACATTCATGCCGTACATTTGAAGCACCATGATACCAGTCTAAACAATCGTAGCTCCCTCTCCCCTGCAAATAATTCTGGGAGTTGTAGCTCACTAAAAGAACTGAGAGCTGTTGGAAGGTCCCTATTCCTCCTCCCAGAACTACAACTCCCAGAGTGGTTCCTTCTTCACAGGGGAATTCTAGGAATTGTAGCTGTGTGAAAGGGACCAGGGTCTCCTAACAACTCACAGCTCAGTTCCACGGGGGAAGCTGTGGCGGTTCGAAGTGGTATTGTAGTGCTTTAACTGGATGGTGTGAATGTGGTTTGTTTACTGCAGCAGTCCAGGAGCCCAGCCATCACAGAGCCTAGGTCAGAGAAGGAGGAACTTCTTTTTCCATCTTGGAAGGTCACATCCATTCTGGACAGGCAGTGATGGGCAGAGACAGGAACAAAAGCAGGCGAAGCAAAGAATGCAAACGTTACCTTTATACAGTGTGCTAGCTCCTTCATGCATTCTTACACCTCTCTCTCTGTTCTCCCTCCCCGGCAACCACTGCCAGAGTCCAAGGACACATTCCAGGAAGGCGTATTTTTTTTATTTAAAAAAATCCACTCAAGGGCATGAAATAGGATTGGCAAGGGGTGTACCCTGAGGATTGGGTGTGTGGCTGATGAGAATATGTTGGCTGGGGAGAGTCCTAGGAACCAGACAGAGAGGCCAGGAAGATTGTGTTTGCCATCTCCCTGGGCCCGAGTTTCCTCTATAGCTGAATGAACTTTCAACCCTAGTGGAATTAACTTTAAAAATGTACCTTACTTGTCTAAGATTCAAAGACTCCAGGCTCCAAGCAAGAGAGGGAGCAGCCGGGGACTGTAGGGAGTCAGTCCCAAATGGCAACAAGGAACTGCACAGAGGAGGGCTGGATTTTGTGTCTTGCAGGTGGGGTTATCCATACGAAGTGTCCCTATTTCCCAAGGACAATCCCAGAATGATGAAAGCCAATCCAGCTTCTGATCTGATCCTGGAATGCCCCTATTCCCCCTTTCAGTTCCACTGCTGCCGAGTTTTCAAAGGGATTTGGGTTTAATGGTTTGGTTTATAAAGAGTGTTTTTCTTATACTCCAAAGGAGGGCAAAGGTGCATTATGTGATAGCAGCAGGATTTGTGCTTCCCTCCAGTGGTGCTTAGTACACGATTCACATGTGGGATGTTGCAAAGTGGGGTAGATCGTTGTTGTTTAGTCGTTTAGTCGTGTCCGACTCTTCATGACCCCATGGACCAGAGCACGCCAGGCACTCCTGTCTTCCACTGCCTCCCGCAGTTTGGTCAAACTTATGCTGGTAGCTTCGAGAACACTGTCCAACCATCTCATCCTCTGCCGTCCCCTTCTCTTTGTGCCCTCCATCTTTCCCAACATCAGGGTCTTTTCCAGGGAGTCTTCTCTTCTCATGAGGTGGCCAAAGTACTGGAGCCTCAGCTTCATGATCTGTCCTTCCAGTGAGCACTCAGGGCTGACTTCCTTAAGAATGGATTGGTTTGATCTTCTTGCAGTCCATGGGACTCTCAAGTCTCCTCCAGCTCCATAATTCAAAAGTATCAATTCTTCGGCGATCAGCCTTCTTTATGGTCCAGCTCTCACTTCCATACATTGTAGCACCCTGCTTGTGGTTAACGCTTAGCTGGAATGAAATATTCAACGCAGCAATAGAGAAATTAAAATAATAATTTATTTGTCAGACAAATAAATGAGAGACACAGTGGTATATGGATACCAAAGCTCTGCCTACTCCAGCCCTGATGGCCAGCACTTATATTTCCTCAGCCCAGCCCCCTTGCTCCTCCTTTGGCTGCCTCTGTCCAATCAGCCTGGTTGAAATTCCTATTGGCTGTTTGCTAGAACCAATCATAAAAGATACACCCATTTCCTATTCCCTTTTATGGGAGACAAAAGCTATATTTCCTTGTATCCATAAATGGCAGACAAGTAGCCATATATCTTACATTTACCTCGACCAGGCACCTCAATTACCAGATAACCTTTGGCCCCTGTTGCCCTATTCACCGCAAACCAGATGGCTAAAGCAGATGGTGCATGGTTTCTAATTTTTTTATCTTAAAGAGATCTTGAGTTCACCTTCTCACCCACCATAATAGGAATCTAACATAAGAATCTAACATTTCTTACTTTCTAAATCCTTTGCATAATCACATTTAAGCCAATATATTTCATACATAACATAGATAGATTTTTAGAAGGAAAGGCCTTTTCAAATTAGAAGGAACTTAGTGAAAGCTAAGTTCCTAAGTTCTATAAAGAAACCTTTTTCCCTATCCAGCAGCTGTTTCTAAGAGCAACCTCTTCCATTTAACCTTTAACCTTATGGCTCGAGTCTTCTGTTAAACAATAAATTTCACTATTTACCAGTTCTTAATTGTGTTTTTACAGCTTGATTGTATTCTGGTCAGTGTGACCTTTTGCTCTCTGGCTCTAATTTCCTTTTACAACCTTGAAATACTTTTATTT